TATATATATATATATATACATATATATATATATATATATATATATATATATATGTATATATATATATATGTATATATATATATATACCTTCTTTTATTTGTCGGTGTCATTAATATCATCTTCCATATACAAAGCTGATCTTTGTCGGAAAAGAAAAGGAAAATTGTAACTAAAACCATGGACTAAAATAGATTGAAAGCTAATCTAATGTGACATTTCCCGGGATTAAACTAAGCAAAAGCCCACGAAGTGCTCATAAGAGGGCTCGATGCCCCGCGGGGCTCCTTCTCTCTCTCTCTCTCTCTTCCCGTGTCCGGTTCTATTGGGGTCGCCCATGGCGAATCTTCCCCCTTCTCTCTCCATAAGCAGCGCCTCCTTCGGAGGAGGGCCCGCTCCCCCCTCCCCCGTCGCCTCAGCCGCCGCAGCCGCAGCCGCCGCCGCAGCCGCCGCTGTCGGCCAGCCGCCTAAGGACCGGAAGATGGCGTCGGCGGAGCAGCTCGTGCTGGACCTCTGCGATCCCGAGCTCAGGGAGAACGCCCTCCTCGATCTGTCCAAGGTCGGGCCCCGTTCGATTCCCTCTCCCTCTTTTCCCTTCCGTCTATGACGTATGCCTGTTTCTTGAGTTATTAGGTGAAGGTTACCTAGAAAAAAAGCTCTTCTTTTTTGGATTCTAATAGTTGGACAAGAAAAACTGGTTTCTTTTTCGTGAATGGATTATGTTCGATTGACTTCATGTCGAGCCCTAAGGTATTTAGAGGAAGAATTACTTGGTGTTTTGATAGGTAAAGGCTGTATCTGTTGGACTGCATTTCTTCACGAATATTTCTTTTGATGGAGTGAAGGGAAGCAACTTGTATGTAGACTCACAGTTGTTCTAAACATCATAACCTTCAATTATTTCCGCGTTAGTAATTAATTGCTTTACTAAAAGGATAGACCAAGAGATGGAATAAAGCATTATGATTACTAGAAAAGCAAACGCGAACTTGAATTAGTCATCTTCTAAAAGTAAGAACCCTTATCCAATCCCAATGGGAGGAAAGTCGAGAAAATTTTGCAATTTAGATGTACTACCAGACCAAGTTTTAATTTTCTTTGATAGCTGATTTAATTGTAATCTTAGAGGTCTTCCTGAAATCATTCAACTTAAAGTTAACCACCATCATTATTCCTTCACTTGTCAAGTGTAATTATTATGTATAAGGCCTATGTGTATTTGCCCCTACTAATTTCTTAAGAGATTGGAAAGTTTCTTGCATGTTGATAGGTTATGTTGGCAGAAGCTTGATGATTGTTGATGCATTAGTTGGCTACATCTATAAAAAGATTGGAATTAGCTGCTACATGTAAGTGTGTTTCTCCATTGATGCAGGATTAACTAAGAAGTTAAAAAGCAAAAAAAGATTATGACATTGGAACTCAATTGGAATACAACTGATTTATTCTTGAAGGATTTCTTCTCCCTTGGTGTTTTATACTTGGAAGGATTTCCTAATGGAATTGCCAAATTCATGGTCCTCATTAGAATAATGAAAATAGATTAATTCACATATTAAGAAAGATTAATAGATACCATCCTGATAGAAGTTGGGCTTAGGTTGGATTTATTTTAATGAAATTAAAAGTTTAAAACTTTCCTTATCACTTGACTTCCTGATATAGAATGATTGGATAAACTTGTTTAGGAATCAAATGTCATAATTACATTAGGAAAAATCACACAGCCCAAGTATTTGCTTGTTTCTTGGATCTTTAAGTGATTTTCTGAGTTTCCATAAGCCACATTGGGAGAGATTAGTATTAGCGAAGTTATAGATACATACATGACCAGGCAAGCATGGGAGGTTGCTTTCTGTTTGAATGTTTGACTTAGCCTTATTCTTTCGTGCTTGCGAACCTTATGAAGGTACTAATGTAGCTTCTTTTTTTCTTTTTCCTTGCAGAAGAGGGATATATTTCAAGATTTAGCTCCATTATTGTGGTACTCTTATGGCACTATTGCAGTACTCCTTCAGGTGTGTACTAACCACATTTACAATGTCTTAAAGCGCATAATTTTTTTTGTGTTAGTGTCATTTTGTTACTGGGTAAGGTTGTTAACCAGATACTTAATATAAACCTGATATTTTTATGTGTTCATTTACTGTATCATTATCACATCCCTTGATCTCTTCTTATGCAGTTTAATAGAATGAATGCAATTCATAATTGCATTTCTGTTTAGAAATAACTAGCTTACTAGAAACTTATAAGAAGGGCTCAAAATATTTATCATATCAATAGAAATGTTGTACAAACTTGATGTGATGGTTAACATGTTTACCATATCAACAGAGCATAGATGGAGGCAGATGGTTGTCATGTGTGTTTAAGTGTACTTCTTACTTCAAGCGCATACAAATGCCTCCTTATGGGGCTTGAATAATATAGCTACTTAGTTGATAATTTGATCTTCTTGATGTAAATCATGCTGGATATCACTTAAAGTTGGATGACTTTTTTATGCCACATGTTTCCTTTTGTTGGCAGGAGATAGTTTCAATATATCCTGCTCTTTCACCTCCAACATTGTCACCAGGTGCATCAAATCGAGTTTGCAATGCTCTTGCTCTTCTTCAGGTCAACCACTTACAAGTTTCTTCCTTTGCAATTCCTTAGAAGAAAAAGTATTTACAAAATTGCACTGAAGATTTCCTTTCTTTCTTATATGATAATTATAAATGATTTATAAGAGAGTATTTTGTTTGGATACTTGGCGTGTGCTACCTTTGTTATAGTCCAGTAAAAGCTATGTACTCTCTTTTGTAATAAATGCATGTAACTTTGGATAAAAGCTATGGTAGCTATGTCTGCTTTATCCAGCTATAATTTTATTTTGCTTCTTGTGGAAGCATTAATTTGTTTTGGTATTTTGTTGTTTCTGCAAACTGATCCTTTTCCTTTTAATCATTATTTTTATGCAGTGTGTTGCATCACATCCAGATACACGGATTCTTTTTCTAAATGGTAATTGATGGACTTCTATTCTCTATTATGGAATTGACTAGTAGTCAGGTGTTGGTCATGATTGATTTGTCATCATTGTGGAACTCATATGCTGATATTATACAAATCATGCTTATAAGAAGTGTAAAGTCATTTCCATGCATCTCTTTACAAATCATGGTTGTCATCTTTCCCCTAAAAGTGGGTTACACCAGAAGTGCAACTCAAGTTGAAATACACCATAAATTTAGTGTCGTGAATCGATATCAAGGGAATATGTACTTTAATCTTGTCTATACGTTTAGCAGAAGGGTATGGACATGAACCTACCAGTGGGTTGGTTGGGAGCTTCTGGTCTCATGACAGTTGTAAGCACATGCAAAGAGGAAATGTCGCTCGCATATGGACCTAGCGAATGAGGAATAGGGGAGATCTATGGGAATGTGGTCATTGGAGGAAAATATTTAGCCAAGAAGTTAGAAGACGAGGTTTGAAGATCTGGCTCTTGCTTGCTTTGGGAATAATGAGTTGAAACAATCCAGTAGTTTTTTGCCTTCTTGCTGACATCCTTGGACTATTCATGGTCCAAGTTAGCAAGGGCCAAAACTATTATTAGACTTCGCTCCAGAGCAAGGATAACTACAAGTCTATATTGCAACCTTGCTATCGGGTGGATTGGTACATTATATTAGTATTAGGGTACACTGTGTTGCTCACACAGGCATCTGCAAGGAAGAAAAGAATTAAAAAAAAAAAGAGAGGAAGAGGAATCATCAGGAACAAAATATTAAGAAAAAAAATATAACTATACATCACAAATTAACAATATTTAGAAATACTGGTTTCATGGAAGTCTGACACTACAATGTCTCTAAGGTTGGGTTCACATACTGTATCCATATCAAGTGGTATGTCACAGCATTTGTTGCTTGCTTGCAGGTCACCTTTATTTCATACATAGAATCAGCAGCCTGTGCCGTTGTCTCCTTGTTGACTTTGCAAGTCGTTTACAACTCATTACCTTGTTTATTATTGTTTTTTTAATTTCTGAAAACTGTAGATGCTTCAGATCTTCTGGTCACAAACTTCCTTTTTATTATGTTTGAGACTATCATACCTTCTGAACCTATTATGTTACATCCTTTTCAAAACCAATTTTCTGTACATTGTTCTTGAAGTTATCTAATCCCTATGTAGTGACTGTTCGTTAATATACCTGCAAGTTTTGTTGTTGTTTTCTGTAATTTAATTTGTTCATATTTTTACAGCACATATACCTCTGTATTTGTACCCGTTTTTAAATACCACAAGTAAAACGAGACCATTTGAGTACTTGAGGCTTACCAGCTTGGGAGTTATTGGGGCTCTTGTCAAGGTATTTCTGCTCAAAATTTTTGGTGCTGATTTCAGTCCTATTATCTACTTGTCAAGTTAGTTTCTTTACATGCGCCAGTGGAATATCTTTATCGTCTGCATTCCTTCTTGATTTCTCTTAAGTCAATATATACATGTCATAAACTCAGTTTATTGGGACAGTCGATTCCAATCCAATCTGGATTGGGATCAGCCATGAAGTGCTTGGATTCTGCTTTATTTCTTAGTCTAGATCATCAAATTGCTGTAGGAGTTGGCCAAAATTGACCGATTATAGCTAATTCTTGTCAAGTTAGTGGACGTATTACTGTTCGGTCCTCACAATGATCTTTGGTTGGAGTGGTGTATAGAAGTATATTGGGCCATACATCGACTGGAACTAATTGGTATCACTTTAAAATAATAGCAAAATAAGTACCTGAGCAATACTAGGTGTACATTGCTAGTTTCTGGTTGAATCCATATATATTGGATAAAATGTTTTCAAATATCAGTCGATACAATTGCGTACTACTTGACGATATGTATTGAATGATATTTACCGATCTGAGCAGAAACCAGTATCGGACCATACAGTTTCGTACCAAATCGGAATTTTTTCAGTTGGCTACAGATCAATGTACTGCCTCAAATACTGGTCTTATACCAGTCTCTTGAATCATCGAAACTGGTATCTGCCCAAGATTTAAATCTTTGTTAGACAATACGATCTAGTTCAACAGGTTCTTATAAGTATCTTGTAGAGCACTAGGCAAAGCCTTCTTTCGACTTGAAATTTGTCTTTGCGATCATAAATGTATATCAACAATTTTCATTTGATGGCACAGGAGATTGTGATTCCTTTTGGTTCCATATTGTACCAATCAATTCTCTTATGCAAGCCAAAATTAGGCTAGCCGCATGTTGGTACCTCTAGTATGGGTTGACATATCATGTCTCAATATTTTGTTGCCACGATACACGTTAACTTATGGCAGCAATTGCCAATTGACTAGCAATCCTTGATGTATATTGTTAACTGTAAAATAAAATTATAATTTTATTTTAATTGCAATCCCAATTTTATTATAATTATCGATTGACAGAGGCATAGCAATGCTTGGATATACAATGTATAGCAAGTATCAAAGAGTTCATGGGTCGATAATAAGATGGCCATAAGTATCATAGTTTATTTCAGAAGTTACCATGATATAATGATGTAGAAAGATTAGGTGAAACGAAACCTTTTCATCTTGTTAACCCAAATCAGTAAGAAGAAAAAAAAGGAGCAGAAAGCACTGTTCTATTTTTCCATGGAATATGAGTAATTAAATATTGATACAATTAAAGATACATCGTCCTTATCTTCACATCTGATCTTGTAGCTGATCTATTTATTCAGAATAATCACATGATTGTCCATTTTTAAAATATTTTTTTGCTGTCTCATTTTCTTAGCAGCTTTGGATTTTAAATAACATTATGAGCATGAGTATGCTATCTGTGCAGGTTGATGACACCGAGGTCATCAGTTTTCTTCTCCAAACAGAAATAATTCCGCTGTGTCTACGCACCATGGAGATGGGAAGTGAACTTTCGAAAACAGTGTGTAACCTCTCTGTTCTTTTCTTATTTGAATTATTAAGTTGTCTAAGTAGTTAGAGCAATATTAGCAATCTGTAGACAGTTAGGATTGCTACATGGAATCTAACTTGCATATGATATTTTGGCTTGATCTTCTACTTGAGGTTGGTGCTGTGTACACCCCATGCTGGCATTTTTCCTGTAACAGCATTTATTGTAGGGCTCCATCATGATGATGGAGTAACAAGTGCTAATTCCAGTAACCCAATTAGAGAAGTTGTGGGATCATGCACCATCTACTGACACAACACCATTATACCTTTTCTTGTTGTCATTTCCAACTAAAACTGGTCAAACAATCTTCTTGTGAGTCATTGACTTTCTAAATCTATCTTTTGTTAGGTGGCTACATTTATTGTCCAGAAGATCTTGTTGGATGATGTTGGGCTTCGATACATTTGCGCCACTGCAGAGCGGTTCTTTGCTGTTGGTAGTGTCCTAGCTAATATGGTCGTATCCCTTGCAGAGCAACCTTCTACAAGGTTGTTGAAGCATATAATTAGATGTTACCTGAGGCTGTCGGATAACCCAAGGTTTGTTTTACAACAAATCATCGTAGGATAAATACACTGATTTCTACCTTCTGCAATGACTTAATTCTTTTGCACCTTTACGTCCTTCATTTGCAGGGCATGCGGAGCTCTGCGCAGTTGTCTCCCAGAGATGTTGAAAGATGGGACCTTCAACAATTGTCTTCGCGTAAGTGCTACTTCTTGACCATGACAATGACACATCCCATACATTTCATAGCTGCTGACCATTCAGCCATACCAATTTCTTTCTTTAGTGATTACTAACACTGTCTACTCATTCAGCGTCACAAAATCTCAACTCCATGTACTCTTATTGCAGGATGATCCAGCGACTCGCCGATGGCTTCAGCAGCTGCTGCATAATGTGGCTGGAGGCAACCTGGTGGCATCCCTTCAGGCAGGTGGACTGGATCACATGATGGGAAACTAGAATGGGCCTCTGTTCATTTCGGACAAGGCTACCTTAGAGATTGTTGTAATGCTGTGCGATCTTTTTCATCACACATAACTTATTTCGAACGTCTCGCTTATTGTTGTAGTAGTAGTACTAGTAGTAGTTGTTGTAGTTGGTAAATTTACTACGGCGGCCACAATGTTGGTAAATTTATCTAGGTCTCTTGTGCTAGGATGCCCTTGTAAAAATCACGGAACTGGAAGTCGGAACCCTTCACGAACTACTGCATGATTTTGATGGAGTAACATCAGGTTCTCCTTTGGTCTGTGTTTAAATACGGTATCGAAGGCAATTCATTTCTCTCTTCTGTTTTTCTTTTTTTGAGTGTGTAAATTATTATTACGGGAAAAGAAGTCCTAGTATTCCAATTATTTGAGCTATGCATATGAATCTTCTTTTATTATTGTTATTGAGCTTTGGACAAGACTAATTCTAAGAAGGCTACTCAAATGTTTGTATCATTCATTACTAATTCATTTGAACATTCAGAATTTTTTTGAAGACTAAAACTATTTGTATCTTGTGCTCCTTGTCTTACTTCAGTTTGTTTGAGGTAAAAAACAACCGTGTATATCATATCTTGCCTTCTAAAATAAATTATATGAATGCTTGTCCATTAGAACAAGTCAATATACGATTATTTATTTTAGGTGTCAAAAGTTTATAAGTATTCATTTAATAAATTTAAAATAAAAACATACATAAGAAAACTATTTTATATAACATTATTCATATAATCATCCATTTAATAAAAAAATATGTTTTTAGCGATAATATAACATTATCGCTAACATTATTCTAGCAATAATGTTATATACGGTATATAACATTATTCATATAACATTATTCTAGCGATAATAAGTTCTGATATGATATATACGATATACGATGATTAAATTTTATATGGTTCATCTCAATTAACATAAAATTAAAATAATGATCGTAATGCGATAATTGTTGTCGATAAACTTTGTACAGGAATAGACTTAAGATGGTTGCTAATGAAAATATGGGCTAATTACATATTAGTTGTAGCCTTTACACTTTCAAAAATTATACTAGATTCCTATTATTAACGAACTCTCGTACCGTGGCTGAGGTGTCAGCACAATTTGGTCCGACCCTCGATGCACAGGATCGTCGATGTGGTTAGATGTCAAATGGGAGCTGTCAGGTCAGGTTAAGTTTTGGCCCCGTCTCCCGAGGCTAGTCTTCCCCCATGGCAAGCAGCTTGGTTCTTCGTCTTCAGGCTCCTGCACTTTGATCAAGGTCGGGAGGGAGATTTTCTGACTCGACCGTTCCGAAGACTAAATTAGCATCGAGGGAGTTTTTTTTTTTGGAAAGAAGGAATTCCCCTTTACTCGATGTCGGTCAGGGGCTTTTATACCTGCGAGCGAGGGTCGGTTGTACATGATCTGATGATGGCGACTGACTCCTCGAGTGGCCGACTTGTATCTCTACAGGAGCGCTAACAACCTACAAAGAACGGCATCGCTCGACATTGTTCTGAGCTTTCCAAAGCGACTTTGTACCGTATGGCGTTATCTCGTGCGGCTTTGGATGACGCGGGAAAGGGCGATCGTCCTCTTGAGTTCGAGGTGACACATCTAATACGATGTTTCATCTCAACCTAGAGGCTCCAAGTCTGCGCTGAAATATTTGCTGAATGTGGCCACGAGGGCATTACCAGATTATGTCTTATCACTTATACTTACGAAAGTAAAATATTTAACCTCGTTTCTTTTCATGCCGTCGACTCTATTGATGGAAATACCTCACATGCTCAGTGGTACATCCTATGGTATTTTCGTCACTAGAGTCAATGATGTGAAGAGAAATAAGATTATAAATTTTACTTTCACAAATATAGATATCCTAAGATAATTTTTGAAAGTATAAAGATCAAAACGCTGAGTAGTTAATGAGATAATACATAATTAATCTTGTAAATATAATATATATAGTTCGAAAGGGTGTTATTTAGGTCAAAACCTATTTCGATATCATCACCCACCGCAAATCTGCGATCACAGTCTCGCGATCGATCGAGTAAGCTCCGATGATTTCTATACGAATAAAGATCAAAAGCAGTCCTCTCACTCATTCCCGAAGGCCGGTGTCTCGATCCAACGACACCTTTCTCTCCCAACTCATTCCGCGGCCATGGAAACATAATGATGGCAAGCATCCCCCATCATGCGTCTCTTTGCTGCCTCCTCTCCCTTTGCTTCCACCGCATCTAAAGCTTCCTCCATCTTTTTGACGACACTGATCACATGGGACACCAACTTAGTGAACTCGAATCTTAGCCATACATCCTCTTCTCTTTGCTTTGCTTTGCTTTGCTTTGCTTTGCTTTGTTCATGTCATTTCTTTTGTATATATGTATATTATAAGGTTTAGAAAGAATTAGGAGTATTTTATCAAAAAATATATAATATTAATTTCTTTTCGGATAACAAAAAGGTCCTAATTCTTTTACTTAAATAATTTGATCACATATACTATTAAAAAACTTGATAATTTATTATCGTAAATTTTTTTACAAAATAAAAAATGATACTAATTATCTTATAACATTACGATGATTCTAAGTTGATTAGTATTATTTTTTTTAAAAAAATTAATGATAATTAATTATTAAAATTAAAGTTTTTTTAATAACATCTATGATCAAATCATTTAAGTAAAAGTATAAGGGTATTTTTGTTCATGTTGAAAAAAGATGCCCCTAAATAAAAATAAATATGAGGTGTTATCGGGTAAAAAACCAATATTAGAATTTTTTTCAATAAAATATCTAATAATTAGTATATGTAATATTTTTTTCAAATACTTTGCAAATGTTATGTAAGAACAAGGCTTCTTATGAGTAAGTATATGAATCATACTTAGACCAAAAGATTATAGAACTTATCATATAATAAAGATATAAAGAAAAGAATATAATTCAAGTCAACTTTTAGTAAGCATAATATAAAAAAAAAAACATATAGTTACAAAATAAAGTTATTTCACACAAATAATAAATAATAGATAAGGATTGACAAAAAAAAAATCAAGTAGCAAATGGTTAAGATAGATAAACTTCTAAAAAACAATGAAGAAATAAAAGTCAAATCATACAAAATCAAAGATCTCAACATTCCAAAGGCTAGGTTTTCCCCTTGGCATCTTTCTTTTGTCAAAGCTCACAAAGATAGTAGTAGTACACAATCATTGTGTTGTTTCTATTTGTGTTCTTAGGGATGCTTTTCTTTTATCTCTCATCAAGCTAGCTAGTGGAATTGTTGACAACCCAACCATCTGCCATCATACTGTTTTCCTTCTAATATCAACAATCATGTCTACATCATGTTCTCTTTCTCACCCAACATTCCTTAGGTGTTCCCTATGATGCCACCACAAGTGTGCACAAGTTGGAGAGTATATTGCAACCACTATCACAGTCAAATTTATCTTTAAATGTCACTGATAAATTGTTGGAGCTGCCTCTGACTACTTGAAATATACAAATGTCAAGACATCATCACATCAAGAAAAGAACAAGAACAAAAACTTGTTCTTCGATTGGTCCTTTGTTGTCTCCTTTTTGTCACACTTAACCCAAATAAGGTGAGGGGAATGAGAGAGCCACTGTGAGATCACATATATGTCTTTGTTAGGTGTATGTGAGGGAAAACATATAGAAAATGAAATCAACACATAGGATTTTGACAATTTGCACACCTGTATGGTATCAAAATACTTAGTGGTATTGCAACTTATGTTAACCAATATTATACAAAAAAAATAAAGGATTGATATATGTTTTGTATCGGTGTTTCATAATACCAACAAATATCGATGGATGAATCAACGGTAACTTAAAAAAAAAACTTAAATTATTATTATTATTATTATTATTATTAGTAAAGCATCTTTTTTTAGTTTATTCATATAGTACGCTACTTATTTTTTTAAAAGATAATATTATCCTTAGCCTCTACCTCAAGAATTATCGCTTTTACCTTTCTACTCCATGTCCATCATTCACATCCTCATCCATCATCTTCATTCCGCATTCTCCACCTTTGCTCTTTCTCCACGTCCTTTAATTTTGTTGGAACTATACACTACTAGCTCTCCTCACGTCCTCCTCCTTCATTAGATATTGACACAATAGATCGTCATTGCCCTCACCTTCCCTCTTCTCTTCACCCGTAAACCTCATATTGTTCTCCTTTCCCTTAATTCTGTCCACTTTTTTTGTAATATTTCTCATTGTCATGTCCCTAAATGTCGTATTAATGGTTAAGAGCACATGACAAAGTCCATTGATGATGGTGGGATTACTCTTATCTCAATTATGGTGGCGTACCTGCTAACTCGATAGGAGACTCATGATGTCAAAATCTAATAAAAGGGAGGATGCATATAGACAATATAACGAAGACGAAGATAACATGACATAGACAATAGACGAAGGCACAACCATAATTATAAATTAGGAGTGAAAACAATATGATGACAAAGTAACGAAGAAAACGAAGTAAGCGAAATTCAATTATAATCACAACTTTTAGAAAGAAAATAACTCTTAAAAAAAATAAATCTAGCAACGAAACGCTCTCCAGACAAAGAAAATTTTGAGATTTTTCTTAGAAATTTGCCCATCAATCGATTGACATGAATTCTTGACATTTACCTCTTCGACGGTCTGTCATGCGTGACTTGCCGTTGGACGAGACGACGGAGCCCACGTGCGCCCCTTCCCATTCGTCGAGCAGTTCGGGAGATGTCCACGAAGGCAAAACTTTGGCGCTCTAAACAATACTTTGAACTACTCGTTCACACGGCACCCCAAAACTACGCGCCTTGTGATTGGGTCTAGTGACGGGACCCATATTTAGTTGGTAAAGGTTTGCGGCGTCGTGGAAAGCGACTCCCCTTGTGTAATGTCTTACGCTGGAGTCTGATACGCCTCATTACTCAACCCTAAGAGTACCCGCGTTGTAATTGCTCGGAACAGTGGGGCCGACGTAATCTTTACACTGGTCACGAGAGTTGACAGGTAGGTAAAAGTGTGCCGATATAACATCGAATGCAACCCGCCCTTTCTAACTCCTCAGCAGCGTTACTCTCTCTCTCTCTCTCTCTCTCTCTCTCTCGCTGCTTCCGATCTTTCATGCCGCTCCGAAATCTCTGTAGTTCTCCCGATTCGCCCATCTTTATCTTTTATTGGCAACCATTTTCTTCCCCTCCTCTCTTGTCCACGAGCAGTGGCCGACGCCGACCAAAAAGAAGCAGAACAACCGGATAAGGGTTAGTTGGATTCCCCTGCATTCTCGAATTTCCTTTTCCTTGTCTATTTCGTGGCGTTTCGTACGAGGAGTTTGGATTTGGTTGTAGGCACCCACTCAAGGCCCTTCCTTTTCCCCCAAATCGTCTTCTTTCGTTGTTCCCCTTCCCAGCAAGGACTCCGTCGGCCGGGTCGCAGGCGGTAGCTGGAGGAAGACAAAAAAAAAAGAGGACCTTAGCTGGTTTGATGCAGGAAAGATAGGGTTTTTCGTGCGTTCTTTGTCCTTTTTTCCGCGGATGAAGATGGTTGCGGGATGGCAGAGGTGATGAAAGTGTAAATGAGCACAGATATCTGCTCAAAAAATGAAAGAATGTGATTTTTGGAATAGTATTGCTGATTGCCCATGAGATTTTTGTTTTACTGAATGAACCTTGCTCCTTTGGAAGAAAATGGTCGTTAGAATCCTTTAACAATCCCATTAAGATGGAAGATGATGCGTCGTGCTTCTTGTGATTAGCATCTTATCGTTGTGGCTTCGATGGGCGGTATAGACTTGTTCAAGCAAGTGTGCGTATGGGTCCAATTCCAGAAGCAAGACTTTGTGAGTGGCCGAGTTGCTGCAAGCCACGCCGTGGAGAAACTTACGACTCTGATCGACCGCCACTGGCCTTTGGTTTACAGCTGGTGCACAATTGTGGCGATGTTTCTTTTTAGGTTGCTGTTGCGTTGGAGGGATTGTGTCGCGAGAGGCTTGAGGTCCCTCTTTACCTTCGGTACAACAGCGCTATTCGTCATTTTGTGGAGTTGCTTCGTTTGCTTGACTTCGATGACTTCTATTGTCTATGCGATTCTATCTCTGGTTCGTTAATTCTCACCCTTGACATGACTTTCTTCACTCTCGACCAGATTCTATTTTTAAACAAAGCTGGTTATGTTTGTTTTCTGGGTTTATGTAATCTCAGCTAGCTTGATGCTTCTTCTGTCTCTTGTTTCGATCTAGCTTCGTTTAATATATAACTATTTTTTGGGCTAGCTTAGTTTCTTGTTGGTGATTCTTTATGCCATCAAAAAAATGTCAGGATGCATCAGAATGATCACCAGCTTCTACTCACTAGTTGTAGGTGTCGTTTCCCCCTTCATGAATTACTTTACTGCAGTATATGATCAAGTGCATACGATATATACTGTTATGGCCTAGATAGTGGCATTTGATCTTCAATCATGTTCTTAGTTGTTATAGGCCTCGACAGTGGCATTTGATCCTTAATTGTGTTCTTAATTGCTTATATGCTACTTTGGCTTTTCCATTGGAATGTCTAAAGTAGGATTTCAGGTCCTGATAATAGGCATATGCTTTGTAGATAAGAGTACTAGATTCAGTGCCTCTATGGTGGTTTATCACCTAATCGTCTTTTGGGAAATAGAAATTTCTATGTAAAAGCATAGAGAAGGTATATGCATATACACTTTTTACTTGCTTAAGAATAACATGTAGAAATAGAATTAAGCTATTGTATGTTTAAAAATCTCTCCAGTTGTTATAGATTTAGAAACCAGATCGAGCCTCCTTTTAAACACATCTTCCACAAATTTGCAATTTTGTGTCAATTTGGAAGTGAAATGATTTGAAAAAGATAAGTTTTTGTTTTGTTTATTGTTATAGGAAAATCCAGCATTGTTACAAAGTCAATCGGAAAATAAGTCAATTTCTTTATAGAGTTATAGCTCTTTACACATTCCTTTTCCTGCTCAGATGGTGATGTATGCAGAAGATGTCAAATGGTTTAAGTTATCTAATTGATTTTTCATTCATCCATGGTAAATTCTAGCACAACTACTTGCTTATATCCGGTATTGGATTGGGACTCATGGTTTGTATGCTGCCATTTCTTCATCTCACTTCATCTCTTGTTGTAAGCCAAGAAGTATGGTATAAGGTTAAAAAGTTCAGTCTGTTGTTTGTATCTGTGATTGCATTAGATAAACAATGAATTTCATTTCCTGCACTGTGCTTGATTCGTTTGAGAACTTATATATTTAGTTTTTTTACTCACAATTATGTACTCTCACTTGTATTATAGTCCACAAATAAGAGAGAAGTAATTTAATCTGAGAAACTTCTGAGTAGAGCCCAAATTTTTTAATTGCAACAAAGACCAGTGGTTTGTGCAAAATTTATGTGTATATGCATTTTGTCAGGGGGCTGCTGCCACGTTCATACACTATTTGGGTTTCACACCTGGACTATCTATTATTGGGCCTTGTGGCATTTTGATTATGTGGATTTATGGCTACTTTTGGTTAATAGCAATGCTACTAATAGCTGGAGGTATGCAAAGAGATTCTCCTATTTAGATTTGCATTAGTTTCTTGCTGGACATGTCTTAAGTGGACTTTCTTTTGCATGCAGGTTACGTAATCTCCCTTAATCATGCACGTTACTTGATATTGACTGCGATTGGATATGCAGTTTACTGTGTCAATGCTTATGTTGGATTGCATGGAATTTTTGTAGCATTAAATCTCTCTTTTATTTCCCATGATATATTAAATAACTTGCTTCAAAGATGTGATTGTACTGATGAAGGCACACATGTTAAAGAGCAAAAGGAGTCAAAACAGGTCATGGAAGACTTTTCTGTTGACAGTGAATATTCCCCTCCGACTAAAGAAGCTGAAGATGCAGTGTATTCTAAATCATTTTGCACGACAACCAAGGCATCAAATCTTTCAAATACAAAGAAGGATGCTTCCTCTAGCAAGGTTGTCATAATGGAGCCGATTTCGTTGGTTGAGATGGAAAGGATAATGAACAGCTCAAACCATTATGAAGTTCTGGGCCTTCTTAGGAATAAGAGTGTTGACCATAATATATTGAAGAAGGAGTACCATAAAAAGGTGTGCTACTGGGTATAAAGATGTTTCTTCAATTAAAACTAGCCTTATCCAATGCATACCATGTCACAAGTTAACATGTGAATGTGAATTCCTAGGTCTTACTTGTACATCCTGACAAAAATATGGGAAGTCAATTAGCTTGTGAATCATTTAAAAAGCTTCAGTGTGCATATGAGGTAAATTATATCCCAGAAAATACTCTTTTCTTGGTTTCCTGAGTAAAATATTGTAGAACAGCAATAATTCAGTGCCTTCTATTTATTTTCTTTCAACATGTTCAGGTAATATTTCGCAACTAATAAGCAAGAAATTTCAGGTTCTTTCAGATTTGACAAAGAAGAAAAACTATGATGAGCAATTGAGCAAGGAAGAACATGGGAGAGAGTGTCAGAGGTCTTCTGTTACATCTCAGCAGGTATAATACATGATAATCCACAGTACATGGCATGAATTTGTATTCTTTTAACTGTTTGAAACTGGTAGTTATAAAAATACAAGACTTGTCAGCTCACATATCATGCACTTTCAGTTTTTCTAGTACATAATAATGTAATGTTTACTTTGTGATAAATGTTTGTCATGCATCTGAATCTAATGGACATAACACTTTGGCTTGTGTGCTAATTGTAATATTGGTATCTTTCCACAGAATGGGGTTTTAAGTTTTGTCATTGTAAATGTTGCATCCGCCTTGGCATAGAGATAACATTCATTCTAGAGAGTTGCATCATATCATGTGCCTTCTATACATGTTACCAAAATTTATCATATCATTTCTTGATTCACCCAACTGACCATCAAATATGCTAGATTATTTGGTTTAGCATAAATCTATTATTTTACTATTATAATCTATATTTTGGTGGTAGTTCTTCAAAAAGATAACTGGAACACTTCTTTATTGGGTTTGCACCTGATTTTTAAATTCAAATCTTTTAAGGGATTAGTCAAAACAGGTGATCATTTATTTTTTTGTCACCACCATCGTCAAATGATCAGTGTTGGTTGGTAATCTGACTATATACCTTGAGCATATGAAATGCTGGCCCTTTACTTGTGTTGTCAGGGTTCTTCAGTTTGGCATGTGACTTTGGATTGTTCTGATACTATGAATTTTCAAACTAATTATTTTATGAGATATGAAGTTTTTAACTAAGCATCTGATTGCATTATGTTACAGGGAGGGGCAGAGTTCCATCCTGAAGAATCTAGGTGCATTCAGTGCACAAAGTGTGGAAATTCTCATATATGGATATGCACCAACAGAAGTAAATCCAGGGCAAGGTGGTGTCAGGTGAGAAGCTAACCTAGTTTTTGACATCATAATGGTTCTTATTCACATATTTATTTACAATGAGAGCTGTGTGATCTTTGAAGCTTGATTATAACATTCTGTTCCAACAGGATTGCTCCCAATATCATCAAGCCAAAGATGGAGATGGGTGGGTAGAAAGTGGCTGCCAACCAGTTGTTATGACACTTCAGAAGGTAGCTTATGACTTATATGTTTAAGAACATGTGAATTTTCTTTCTTCAAATATTATTTTGCTGGTACTTAGGATATCTTTTCAATCTTTAGCATTTTTCATGATCCCAAGCCTTAATAAGTGTTACCAATTATGCTTATGTTAAACAAACTGATGGGTGCTTAATATTTTTAAGCTATTTTTATAACTGTGAAAAATACCAATGTATTCATCGACTGTTTTTATTCATATGGATATGGGATCTTGTTTCAGTCTTAGTGCTTGAATGATGAATCGTGAAATGGAATAAGGAACTATTGAGTCCGAGTTCAAGCTTCAGACAAGTCGACAAAATGAATTAGATACACTGCTTAATCTTTTTTCGACTCCTCTGAAAGAAAGAAACTCTTTTGATACTATACCTGTAGTTTACAGGTGTCCTTCAGTCTTATTATTAGAGACAATTGGCACTGACGTTGCATTTTATGTTGTTAATCATTTTACTTCTCTGTTTCCTGTTTTTTAGTTGGAAATCCCACGAGCTTTTGTCTGTGCAGAGAGCAAAGTATTTGATGTGTCCGAGTGGGCAATTTGTCAGGTTAGAATTCGACGATTTCTATTATTTTCTTGCATTCGGTTTTCAAAATTTTACTAAATCTGGAAATTTTATTTGAATTTTTTTTTATGGGTTGTTTTTAGGTGAAATGATATCCTATTGATGTTTAAATTGATAGATGTTTTGGGAGTTGCATATTCATATACTACTAGAATTTTGCTTTAATTTCATATTTCTTTTTTTGTCAGTGGATATCTATCAGATTAATCGATAAAGAGCTGGATCTGAGAGTTCAATGTTTATTCAAGTTTCTGGTGTTACTCAAACAACTATTTTGTGTTAGATCTAGCCTCAACTTTAAGCTGCCATTTGGAGCAGCCATCGCATAAGAAACTTTTTTGTTCATACTTCCTAACTGCAGTCATCATGCAATTAGATTGTGTTATTCTTGGGCTCAGGTAGCAGTTATCTGAACGACAACTTTGATAATTACCAGATAGTAGTAGTACTCCAACAAAGGCAATGTTGCTGGTCTCTTCTTTTTCAGTAGAGTTGTGGTGAAACTCAGGGTGTGCACTTTGCAAGATAATTTGCTGACTAGTTTAAGATTATTTTAGTTCTGTCACCCAGCTAGTAGAGAAAGAGATTACAAATGTTATATGGTTCATTTGATGAAAGTTTTTAATCCTCCTTTTCCTCGATGGTGCTATTATGGTGTCTAGTATAACTTACTGAGGCCATTTGTTAACATATATTATAATCAAGATATCAGCTGGATCGGTACATCTGGATAAGTATATACTGGTCTAACCAAGGATAGTTATTAGACCATATAGCTCACCATCCTATATATTGGTACTATACTGATCCAACAAGGGGTCTAACTGGTATCAAACCAAAATTTTGAACCTTGGTTATAATTTCTGACCAACTATCACAAATGTCATGTTTCCTGTCCCGTGTACTAGCTTTTATGTCCGTGATCATGTACTTGAGAAACTTTAATGAACTGTTGATAAATTAACAATTGCCTTTGCTTCTAACCTTTTTCATCTAACACTAAAACTGTTATATGCAGGGAATGACATGTAGGCCCAACACTCATGGGCCAAGCTTTCATGTGAACATGGTCGCTTTTGATAGCACAGGGCTGCGATCCAATTCCTCTACATATTCTTGGGGATTGGATGCTAAGATGGCTGTTGAGGATGGCGAGTTTGAGCTGTGGCTTCAGGAGGCTTTGGCATCTGGCATCTTCTCTGAGACACCAAAGCGTAGAAAAAGCTGGCCATTCAAGATTAACCAGAAAGGCATGAAACCATGGCGAAGATCACCATGAACAAAGATAATTAGGTCACAAGAGGTAATTCGTAGGAGAATTGCTTGTTTCATCGGTGTTACAAAATACAAAAAAGGTACTGAGAGTAAAGTTCCTATCAACTGATTGTTGTCATTCTGAGCATGCAGGTTTCTTTGGAAAACCAGAAGAGAAAAGAAACAAGAAATTCGGTTGTGGCGCTATTTGGATTTGCTGATATTTGAATCCAGATGAACAATTCATGGTCTTTGTTGTTTGATTTAAATGCGTAAAAAGATGGACGGATATTTGTGTGTTCTGCAGTTGTGGCCCTGCAGAAGAACTAAACAAGAAGAGATTCCTCCATGTTTACCAGAACAATTAGGAGGAAAAAAAGAACCACGACATGATCATCCGGGAAGAAATTAAAGAGGTGTATTAGGTTATTAGTAGTATCTTCTCATATTTTGTACTCAAAAGTACAAAACCAATCAAGGATTAGGCAAACTTGTAAAGAAATGCTGGTGATTAGTACATTAAACACTATTTATGTAACATTTGTAGCAAATATCTGCCTTTGCAGCTACATTTTATGGTTCTTTTGCATCTGAACATAGAATACTGTATTCTAGTTTTGGTTTCCAGGTTAAGTCTGAGTTGCCTGCCTGATAAAAAAATGACTAGTAGTGATTAACTTGAACCTTTTAGATGGATGTTAATGGAAGTAATATATGTGGAAGATCTTGATGTATACAGAGATGTGTA